AAGGGTGTAACCCAGGTCGCTTGTCACTCATTTTGTAGCTGCTTTGTCGCTTGCTTTTTTGTGATAAATGTCGCTGTCACTTTTGACCCATAACACAAATCGCAAGTTAGTCAGAAGCTGTCGTTTGTCGCTCTTTTTTAGATAGTCTGTCGCCTCTTTTTAAGGAATGTCGCCTGTCGGTCATAACCCCTTGGTGGGCTTCCTTCATGACCAATAGAGTCGAGGTTTCCAGCAGAGCAAATGCAATCATAATTCCTGCAGTTCTGCGAATCACACCGAAAGTTCGAGGAACTAGTTAGCACAAAGGCCGGCAGTGTCGAAATAGCTACATTTAAATTCAATTGAACTGAATTGGATTGAACTGAAGAATTGAATCGAGGCAAATATTCTGTAATCAAAGCGTCATGTTTTTAATAGGTCACATTTAAACTTTGAATATGATCCCAGTGTAACGTTGATAATTCTAATCACTGTTCTCCCGTTATACAGTAATACCAGCAGCATTGCTGATGGGATTTTTAACAGTTTAAATAAAGTCTTTATTTATTCATTTATTTATTTAGTTGAGCGAATTAAACCTATCCAATGCTGGATAGTATAGTCCAATTTGTTCACCAGCTTGTTTGTTGCAAACGCCGCATATTCAATTGACAAAATGAGAGATTTTCAGATAGTTATTCTTATTTTTGTTTGATTTACAAGTTTTATTTACAGTAATTCACAAGATATCAGATATAATATAATCAATAATATCGGAGATTCTAATCAATAATGTATGCCATACAGATTCTCGGAGGTCACACCACCGGGATTGTTATGTACACTTAGGGTATTTACAGCTGGTCCATAGATTTCCTCTTGCATCACACCGTATATGTTCTCCGGTCGGAGAACATTACCCACGGACCGGCTACCATATATGTTTTCCGATGAGATCATATTACCCACCGATGGGTTACCATATATATTCTCCGGTGGGAAATTGTTACCCCCGTATACATTCTCCGGTTGGGCAATGTTACCCATGGATGGGTTGCCATATATGTTTTCCGGTGGGAGAATGTTACCCACAGATCGGTCCGGTCGTAGACTGTTACACCCATATATATTTTCCGGTTGGGCAATGTTACCCATGGATGGGTTACCGTATATGTTCTCCGGTCGGAGAATGTTACCATATATGTTCTCTGGCCGAGTGCTATAGATGCTTCCACCATAAATAGAGCACATATCCATCACACTTTTCGCATAAGCGTTGAGTAATGCTTGGCCGTAAATTTCCTCCGGTTCGGGGTTGGGTAGGGATACCGATAGATCGTGGGGATCATCCATGGATTCCGAGAAGCTCTCGTCATACGAAATCCGTTTTGTCCCATTTTTGCCCTTAGAAGTTTTGTTCTTTTTTGATGTTTTTTGTTTTTTCTTTTTCTTTCGTGATGACTTTTTGCCCTGACTGCCATCTGGAAAATATTACAGAATTTTAAACTCAGTAATAGTGATTCGAAACAAAAATTCGAGAACAATTTAGGACTGATAAAGATATGCAATATATAAATAAAAGATTTTGGTAGATGGAAGTGTAGGCTTTTCTCGATTGTGCTAGCATATTTTTTAGCATAATTTGGGTAAACAAGCATAATTTTGCATTTTTTTAGAAAAAAGCACTGCTAGCATAATCTGCAGACAATTGCCAGACATGTCTAAGTTTCAGAGCAAAATGCAGGAAGTGATTGTTAAACAACACTACGCTGACTACTGTAGTTAGTAATGTAATCACCTTAATATGAGACCCAGTCCACACTCCACATTTCCCCATTACTCAATATCCAAGATGGCGTCAGCCTCTCAGGAAAATATAAACTTACAGGTTGCACAAGGAAGGCAACAGGAAAATAGTGATAATAATAGTGCAAACATGCCACCACCTGCAAAAATTGCTCGAGAGCGGTGGTCAGATTCAAACAAGAATAAATACAAGAGCCGGAGAATAAATACAAGAGCTTCTGACGTGAAGAAAATTTGAGTTGTTAACTCAGAGAACAATCAACGAACTGTATATATAGTCTGGGCAACAGATTTTGTGGACGATGATAGAGCCATATGAATAGACTATTAGGCCACATAAAAAAAATTACTTATTTAGCGTCCCCGCCCGACCTGATAAAAGTCCCCGACCTCCAATTTTTTTTTTTTTTTTTTAAATCCGTCCGAGTTTAGTGCAAAAACTCTCTATAAAAAAGACCGTTTTACTTGAAAAAATGGTGATTTTATTCTTCTGGGAGCTATGTAATACGTTTACTCCTTCCTCGCAGCTAAAGTGTTCGCGCGTGACCGCCAAACGGTAATCATTTCTGTTTTATTAAAAACATGAACGGTATTAAAAACATGAACGGATTTTGAAAGAATTAAAGTGAGTTTTGACTGTGGTAATATACTGGATTTCCTGCATTTAGCAGAATTTTGTGTTGCATTTTACGAAAAAAAAAAAAAAAAATCCGCCCGCCCGACCTAGGAAAATTAAAATGGGTGGACGCTAAACAAGTAATTTTTTTTATGTGGCCTTATGTTGAGTTCAGGAGAAAAGACTATTAAAAGTTACAAAATTTACTTTTTATAACAAAATACGTTGATTTTTCCACTTTTGTAGCATATTTTTGAATAGCATAATATAATAAAAAACAAGCATAATTTTTTAAAACTGGCATAATTCGAGCATAATTTAGACATTAAACCAGAACTGCTAGTAGCATATTATGCTACTTTTACTAGCACAATCGAGAAAAGCCTAGGGGGGGGGGGGTGCGGATTAATAATGCGACGAGCCAACGTTTGACAGCCGAATTATTTGGCTGGTCAGCAGCTTCCGCCATAACAATAACAAAATGGAGTAAAAACAACAGAGAACTAGCATAGGCTGCTGATGAAGACTAATCAAGATTTATTTACAAGACTGTGTCTACAATAATCATTAAGATATCGAAAGGGATTAACACTAAAGAATAATGGCAGCTGACGAAAGTCAAATAGTAAGTCTACTGACAATCGGGGTCATTCAATGACAAGGCTGTCGTTCGAGGCATATCTTTGTATTAGTTAATTTGATACTGGAGTACTTTTCTCTTGACTTTTAAAATATAAAACTAATAAATCTTCAAAGTAAATCGATGTTCGATAATTTGTTGACTAACGGACATCTTTACCTGTTGCAAATTTATAACTTGTCATGGGCGTACCGGGCGGGCCTTCTACCAATTTGGAAAAAGTCCGGGCAATATTCGCTGAACAGTCGGGCAATTTTGGTTAATTAAAAAAATAAATGTGACAAATTCTGTAAATTTTGCGGAAAATTTTGTGAAATTTCCCCAAATTTTGTAGGTTCCGGACAATAATGGTATGTCCGGAAAAAATTTTTAACCCCTAAAATGGTACACTGACCGAAATTTTTTTTGGCGAGGGGTACTGTCGGGCAAAATCCGGAAAAGTCGGGCAAATTTCTTGTCGCCCCCCTAAATTTTTCCTTCCGGTACGCCCATGTAACTTGTTTTGTTTCTATTCAGCTAGAAATTTTTTATTATTTATACAATACGGTCCATACATAACGGGAAATGCCTGTGTCAGTGCATTTCCCTAAAAGACTTTAGACAACAGCAAAGGTCAAACGAATGTTATCACTGTTCTAGGTCAAAATAATAACAAAATCTCGGTCTTTGAAAGCAGAGTTTACAGTAAACGGTGAACATTCTTATTTGATCTAAATTACCGAAAGTCGAAAATGTTGATTATTTGTTGGTCTGTAATACCCCCAGAATTTACAGGCCGCAATATTTAATTTTACATTATGTAAGACCAACCTTTAATCTCACCATACAAATAATATTACATTCATGGCAAGTCTAACTTTTGAATTTTAGGGGTTTTATTTCAACAATTTTTAAGGTACTTGGAAATCTCTATTTTAGTCTGTCATGAATGATGTCATTTCTATATTTAGAAAACATATTTGAAAAATTTGTAGATATATTTTACTTAAGACATATAAAGCTACTATTGTGTGGAAGGATTTAGTTTTATTATTTTTGTTTGATGTAGAGAGCTTTAAAAATCAGTAAAAATCCACTATTGAGAAACAGCAAAAATCATAATTTTACCCCTCAACTTGACCCCCCTGGAACTTTGCCAAAATGCAGTTAGACTGAAAACAAGATGCATTTTGAAGCAACCCTTATAAAGGCAATCTCAAGTACCAAGTTTGAGAGAAATCTATTTCTTGATCCAAAGAGGTCATGAGGTTCTTACAGAGACTGCCTCTTAAGAGTTAAGTCTAGTTGAAGTAGAAGTAGATGTGCGCATGCATACACTCTACCAACCAAAAAACAGAACAACGAATCAAGAATCGGAAGACAGAATCACAGAATGCGGGTGAATTGCTATAAAATTTGCTAATGCGGGTGATTTTATGTGCCAATTTTTCCGCGTGTGATGATTCCAAAATGGGGGTGTCACCCACTCAATGCGGGTGAGTTCACATATCTGAAGATGCCTGTTCAGAAGGTAGGAAAAGTGCAATTTGAATATCGAACACCTTGCACAAAGTCAAAGGGCAGCTAAATATTCTACTTACTACTTTCTTCGCATGGGCGGTTTTATATGAATACCTTCAATATTGTAATTTCTTGTTTTTGTATGTACAATTATAATACTGTCTGTGGTGAAACTAGCCATAGCAACAGGTCATGCTATACAAATTTTTAATTATTTGCATTGTTCAAATGATGCAGGTTTATTAGCATAGCATGACAACAATTTTATGATTGGGAGGGCTGGTGCTGAGATGAAATCTCTGCATCCTGGGTAACCTGAAGTTCAGGCCCTAATTTGAAATAGGGCCTGACACAAAACCTGTCTAGACCGTGGGACGCCCACATGTTATTTTTAGACACACATGCAATATGATTGACAAGTGTTGTAGATTTCGTTACACAAAAAAATTATATTCTCATGAACATGTCCGCAGAGCATTTTGCTTTTTAATTAAACTTAAAAATTCAATGTACTTTTATATAATTAAGAGTCAGTTTCTCTATTTAACCGAACAGGCGAACAGCAAACAA